CTCTCTCTCTTACTTCTTCTCCTCCAACCCATCTCTCTCTCTCTCTCTCTCTCTCTCTCTCTCTCTCTCGGTGGCACGCCACTCCCACAAGGACTTGGGGGTGGCACGCACCACCCTATAAGATTGAGAGATAAGGGGCACGCCTAACCCTAGATTAAAGGGGAGATAAGGGGCATGCCCAACACTAGATTAAAGGGGAGGTGCCACATAGTGGCATGCGCAAAAGGTTCATAAAGGGGTCCAAGAAACCTTAGTTGTGTTATGCTCTCATAAAACCCTAGTCTTACCGGTTGTTTGCTTTTATTTTTCGGTTATCTTTGCTCATTTATGTGAATTTCCAGCGACATTATTTGTACTAAAATTGTTGCTGGAAGCTTGTTTTTCATTCTTGGATTTTGTCTATTCTATTTGGCAGTAAAAGCAAGGATCCTAGATTGTATTTAGGGTTTTATTTCTTGTTTACAGCAATGTAATGTGACACATGTAAGTGGAATTTAGATACATTAATAAACGAAAAAAGAATTTTTTATTTTACTTCCTTGAATTCCACATAGCCACTCTTTTCGACAACAAAGGCTCTTTCCAATGAAATGTTGATATCAAGAACTACTAGCTCTACTAAAACCTGATTACAGCTAGAAGGTTGAGGGATATAGCTGGACCACCAAAACCATAGGCCTTTGGGTGGCTAGTGACTTCAGAGAAGGTACTCACACTGTGACACAGTGAATCACATCCAAGACTGAGGAATCTCAATAGCAAATAAATACCTCGTGTGCAGGGTGGACAGGCAGGACCACAACTTTCAGCCAAGTCTCACCATTTCCCGAGGCTACTGCATTAACTTTTCATAGATTCAGCAGATCGGACCAGCCCACTTGGAGTTGGGCATTGCCTGGTTCAAAGCCAAGTCCATGTTTTCAAATTTCGATCGCTGCATCGAAATCTTTGTTTTGATGTGGGTCTCAGTGGAAAATCACTTCCAACAATGCTTCTCCCCTCGATTACCAAAGCCTAGACTGATTATCTGGAGATTCACCCTGTCAGCTATTGTCTGGTCTATTTGGTTAGAGTGTAACCGTAGATGCTTTGAAGCCATTACATCAAACATTTCTACCATCAAGATTAGAATCAAAACCACTATCATTTGGTGCGCACTCACAAGGAAGAACTTCAGGGGATACAATTTCAGGAATTTTGAACTTGGATGATAAACTATAGATGGGACACAACACAAAAACAGCCACAGTAGCTTATAGGTCCTCCACACCAATGCGATTGATTAAACTGAGCTCCGATGGAAGCTCCCCGGGGAACCCTAGACCTGCAAGGGTAGGAGTTTTAGAAATGACAAAACAAATATCATCTTATCATACTCTATACTGCAGTTATCATTGACAAATACAAGGCTGAGGTTCTTTCACTCCATACTGACCCTAGGCAATACAACCCTTCCAGGGTTCCATTTACAGCAGAGGTTGATTCAGATAATACCATCTCTTGGCAACTAAAGGCACTAACACACTATGGTGGTTGGCAGCAGAGCGCTGTTGCTTTGAAGAAGTAACTGATCCTTAACTGAGAGAAGTAATGACTTTTTTAATAGTTGTATTAGCTTGAATCTCATGAAACCATTGTTAGGATAGGAGCTAAATGTGATTGTTAGATACGTGGAACGATACAACTGAAGGCTGGAATGGCATGACCTCCCATTGAAGACATGCAGTGTAGGCAGACACAGGTTTATGCTACAGTGTGATATTCATTCATATCACATTGTAGCAGTTCCGTTCTGCCACAGGCAAGAGGTGATGTGGAAAGTTCCGTCTTTAAAACTTTGACACTCTTCTAATTCACAAGACTCATTTGCCGCTGTATCTATCAATAGAAAAACATCTCATTTGGATGAATCAGACACATGTCATCTGACTTCACTAGTTGAGATCTCGTCTGCTACTGACTGAATGCGTCTACTATGCACTACACGAGACTGAACCATTTGACTCATGTTGTGTAGCGACACTCATCCCCCTTGTTCAGTCAGACGCATGTAGAAGCACTTGTTCCCCTCATTCAGTCAGACGCATGTAGCGACAACGGCAAACAAGATTAAGGGCACTTGATGGAAACAAACCAGCTCGGCGACACATTGGCATGAGGAGTAAGTCAAAGGGCGCTGCATGTGGTGCAAAGTATTTGATATTTTTTATTTTTTGTTTGCCCAACACAATGTTGTTCTTTTATGTGTACATTTTGTCTATACTTACACTGCCCTTGAACAAAGACTATCACTATGACCCAAATTTGTCCTACAAATTACATTCACTGAAAAGACACAAAAGAGAGTTATAAAAAAAAAAAAGAAGGGAAAAAACTCATCGAAAAGAGGAAAAAGAATCTCCTTTGTTGCAATCAAAAATCTATTGTAGATTACATAAAATATTGTAAGTTGGAGCATTTTGAATCCCAATTGCAGCCCCAATGTTTACATTCTTTATAATGTAAAAAATAACAATGTAGCTTTCCTTCCATCCTTCAGGATATATGGTTAAGAGCGGAATAAAAGTATTTTTGAGGGCAAACATTCTACAGCCGCAATTGTAGGGGATCGAGTTAGGAATATGATAATGTAATGAGCTTGAATTAGAAGAGAATTCCAATGTCTCCGGATTTTGGTTTTGATGAGAGGATGAAAAGATGAGTAGTTGGAGGCAGGTGCACCATTTTCATGTCTTATGGGGCAATCCTCCAAATAGGATTCTCAAGCTTAATTTTGATGGGAGCTCGTTGGGCAACCCGGGTCCATTGAGTGATTCCTTAATGTGATTCAATGGGCAATCCTCCAAATAGGGAAAGCAATTAGAGACCACATGGGAGAGACTTTAGTTGACTATGCAAAGCCAGCAGGGATTGGAGATGCTAATAGGGCCGAGGCCCTAGCACTTATTCACCAGGTTGCGCATATTCTTCCGGTCTTTCCCTGGATTTGCAACTGCTTGAAGGTGATTCCTTAATGTGATTCAATGGGCACATAGGGAAGGCCCACCACCATGATGACCAATAGAAACTTTGGAGATGTATAAGATATGCCGAGATTAGCAAAGGAGATTTCAGCATGTCTTGAGATTGGCCAACAATCTCACCGACTCGATCAGCTCACAAAAGCAGTTCTAGTAGGGACCTCAGTGGGTCCCATCCCCTACCAATTCGATGTCTCTCTTTTAGTTGTTAGAAACACCTATGATTCCAAATTGTTTCAGGAATCGGAATCATGGAATTGCAGGTAGCTAGTTGATTCCTATAGTCAGAATCGCCATCCATACAATGTGTATCACTTGAAACAGGATTACTATCGTTTAGGAACGCGCTCCAATCCAATAGGAATCAAGATTCCAACCTTGTTGGAATAGCAGTCCGATCAACTTGGAACCGAGATTCCTAATGGGAATCACACCAAACCACTTGGAACCACGTCACAACTTATCAAGAAACAAGTTCCAAAAAGCAAAAGATTTAAGGTTTTAGATTTTTTTTTTTTTGGGGTGTATCAGTGGGGATTTGGGCGAGAATGGAGTCCGAGACATTTAAGGTTTTAGATGATCTATAAGCAGTATTGGACTCCATATTTGAGTATGCTTGGTTTCCCCTATTATTGGAATTGATGTCTTTGACAAGCCTCCCCTAACAATAGAATTGATGTATTGAGTGCCCTTTATCACAATTCTCCATAGGTATTGGAAACAAGATCAAGTACCCTCAAATAAGTACTTTCCTAGAGTGTTTAGATTGAATAAAGAAAATAAAATAACTTTATAATATGTATTCTTAAAAATAGGACATGTACTACAAATTCGCAAACTTTAGGAATGATGTAAACTAGAGTTTGTCGATACCCATAAAGTTTTTAGATACCCGGCATATATTAATCATTAATAATGTTAAATAACAAAAAAATTCAAATAATGTTTAAAAAATTCCAAGCATGCAATAAAATTTCGACAATCTTAATGTTGTGGACCTAGATTCCAAATATCTACGACCGTTATTCCTAAAAATTGAAAGCAAGGTCTCATATTGGTTGAATAATGGTCTCGTGCACCGATGAATTGCAAATTTGGTGAGATGACATCTAGATTCAAAGACATTGCAATGATATTTCAAAAAATGTGGAATCCTGCATTCTCACTTCCACGAGTCAGGTTTTGTGGCAATTCCTTCACAGAAACACAGAATCGCAATTCCAGATGATTTTGATGACTTTTCTCTCTCTCTCTCTCTCTCTCTCTCATC